GACAGAAATAAAGCCCCGGCTGTCCCTTCATCTTCCTCTAATATAAGCATTCACTGTTATATATATTTTTTTTTGTAAAAGGCAGTTCCGCCTAAAGAACAATTTAAATCCCATCAAACCATTCTGGCCAAGGCAACCTCCTTATACTGAGATAAATTGTTAAAGTCCTCACCAGTCTGAGGCAGGAAAAGAACTTACTTGGGAGATATTCCTCACCCAAATTCACAATCGTTTGTTTGCAGAAATCAGTAACTTGGGACGCAAGTTATCCATTCCAAACCAAGTCTGCTAGAAATTTTGCTAGCAGTGGCACGCTCGCACACCAAAGAAAGCTGACTTGTTGACCAGTTTATGGTTCTCAAGGCAGTGGGGAACTTTGCCCTTCCATCATAGGAGTAAACCAAGAACGGGCAAACAGTAGCATTATTCGTTATAAAAAGCCAGAGAATTTCAGGTCTTCACTACTATCTTTAGCTCTGATCTTTGGCTTCATGAACTAAATAGCACTTTTTTCTTCTTCTTTTCTTTTAGCCCTTTATCCCATTTTGATGGCTTTCTTGATGCATATGTCGTTGAGAAAACAAGATGCTGGCATTTTTATTGGCAGTGTCCTCTGGTTGCTGCTTAGTTGTAGTTTCAGCTTTGCTGTTGAAAGTGATATCAACTGCTTGAAAAGTATAAAAGCATCACTTGAGGACACTTTGGGGTACTTAAACTCTTCATGGGATTTCAGCAACAACACTGAAGGCTTCATCTGCAACTTTCTTGGGGTCGAGTGTTGGAAACCTGACGAGAGCAGGGTTCTGAACATCAAGCTTTCGGATTTGGGACTGAAGGGCTTCTTTCCTCAAGGCGTAGCAAATTGCACAAGCCTAACAGGGTTAGATCTTTCAAGCAACCAGCTCAATGGACCTCTTCCTACTAATATCGATCATATCATTACGTTCATTACGTCCCTTGATCTCTCATCTAACAGCTTCACAGGGCCAATCCCAATTAAGCTTTCTAATTGCGGCTATCTGAATGTGCTTAAGCTTGACAACAACAAGTTCTCGGGTACCATTCCTCCAGAACTTGGCCAGCTTGGTAGGATTAAAACATTTAGTGTGGCCAACAATCAGCTGTCTGGCCAAGTCCCAAACTTTAATTATGCATCAATTACGGCGGACTCTTTGGCAAACAATCCTGGACTTTGTGGGAAGCCTCTGGAGGTGTGCCGGTCAGCTGCAAAGAAGTCTAGCATTGTTAAGGTTTTGAACTCATACAATGTAGGTATAGCAGCAGCAGCTGGTTTTGGTTTTGGTTTTCCTTTTTCTTTTTGTTTTTTTCCTTCCAAGAGCTCCTAGTGTCCGTTATTTGGTGGTGTTCGCACGAAGATTTAAAAGTTGAACTCAGCCTAGCCAGTAACAGTTGCGCTCTTGTTTTCTGCTTTTCTGAACTCATTTACCTGTCTTAAATTATATTTAGTCCTTCTTTCAAGTTGACTGATTCACTAATTGTACGCTTGAAAATCCTCGTGTATATATTGCGCTTGCATTTTTTTTTTTTGGTTAGAAGTTAATGCTCATTTGAGTCATTTGTATCTAAAACAATATAGAGAAATGTAGAGAACTCGAGAGATGTACACCAACTTTGACAAAGTAGGCAAGCTCAAGCTTTCAAGACATAATTGTTGTAGGCATTCTTGGAAAATCCTAAATAAATCTTGTGAACTAGTGGTGAGGAGAAGAAGCCAATGTTGAGTAAGTTAACCTAACAAATCAATTAGATTTATTTTCTTTTTTCATATAGTTGACAATCGTTGTATAATTAGGAGATATTCTCCTATTTAATTCATGTATCTATTTCTTTGTAAAGCACTACATGTAAACTCTTATATATACATTCTTACGAAAAAGAATACAATTAACCTAAAGTATTCAAACCATATTCATATTTTAATAGCCAAGTCAAGTGGGACTTGAACAATGACGGCGTCTATAAATAAGTGTTTTGTTTGTATAATTTAAAGTATTATGTATAATTATTTTAATGGTGAAGACATGATAATTATTTTAATAGTGAAGACACGAACTTCTGACTTTTAAAACTTATTAGTCAGTCCCTAATAACATTTTCCACAAGAGGACTAGTACAAGGATTTTTTTTCAGAAATACACCACAGCTTTGCCTAGCTAGTTCTAATTCTGAACCAGTTTTGCAATGAACTCATCAATGTTTTTATTAGAACTTCCACCTTCATCCACTGCACTCTTGGCCAATGCTTTCCACTTCGAAGCGTTCTTTCGAATCTCCTTCCCTCTCTCCCCCTCCAATATTTCTCTCACACAATGAGCAATTTCTTCTCCTCTCACTATCCCTTTCTCATCAGCTTGAGCTTTAAGCCCTATTTTCCACACATCCATGATGAACTTGGCATTGGTGCCCTGGTCAACCCACTGTGGAACTGCCACCATTGGAACTCCTAAACTCAAGGCCTCCAAAGTAGAGTTCCAACCACAATGTGTGACGAAGCATCCTACAGCCTCATGTGCCAACACTTCCAATTGAGGACACCATGACACCGCCAAACCCTTTTCAGACGTCTCCTCTGCAAACCCTTTTGGCAGCTTAGCTGATTCTGATGCCCTCACCACCCACAAGAAATAGCATTTGCTTCTCCTCAAACCCAAACAAAGTTCCTCCATTTTCTCTTCTCCGAGTTTTGCCACACTGCCGAATGACACATATGCTACAGACCCTTTTGGCTTTGCATTTAACCATTTCATGCAGGCATCACTGTTTGGATTTAGGAGGTTGAGACCATATTCCTTGTCTTCTTCATGACGCTTATCCAGGTACATGGATGGTATGGTTGGTCCAATAGTCCTCAATGGCCAAAATTTTGCCATCCAATCCACCGTCTATGCATAAAAGGAAAGTGCTATCTTAAAAATTTAAGTATAAGGTAAAAGTCATTAAATTTTGGAGACTTCAAATAAATAATTCCTAGGACGGATAATTTAATTTAGTGACTCTAGCAGTATTGTTGACGCCTCTCCCTATCAAGGGAATGAATTCATTCATATAGTAACAAAATATATGCAACTCAAAAGAAATATAGACATGAAAATAAAATAGAACATTTGATAGGGGTAAGGGTACCCTCCCTGGGCATGCACTGGCTAATAAAACTTATGCCATGAATTTTGATTACCTCATGTTCCAGCTCATAAAATGTGCTGTAGAAGACCCAATCAGCTTTGTCAAGATTAGAGAACGGCTCCACACACAGTTTAAAGAAAGCAGGGTAAGATTCAGGAGCATAGATGAAAGATGGGGTGTCTGAAGGTTGAAGAGGTGGCAATCCAGGCAGCAAAATCTCAGAGTCAGGATTGAGAGGAAGTTTGAGCAGCCCTTTATGGACAAGAGAGTATATGTTGGTAACAGCACAAGATACAGTGAAGAAAGCGGCCCCAGCAATCCCAACCCTTTTGGCCACATCAAGAGCCCAAGGCAAAATTTGATCATAAACTAAACAATCAGCAGGGTGGCCTGAGGCAGAGAGCTTGTCAATGAGCTCAGCCAAAGTCTGTGAGCCGATTTCCCGAAAACGGTCCCAGTAGGCCTGGATGCTCTCTGCTTGGGAACTCCCACCTTCTCCATCAAACCCATCAGAAATGGTCTCCAATGCAATGGAAGAAAATGATGATGGTGATTTTCCACCTCCATCTCCATGCAAAGCCTTGTGAACAGAGCGGGTAGTGACCAATGTGACTTTGAGTCCTTTGTGCTGTAAACGCTTGGAGAATTGGAGCATGGGATTAATGTGGCCTTGGATTGGATAGAACAAAACCAGGCAGTGAGCTTTTTCTCTCTTCTCCATTTTGCTGTGCAGAAGCCAACCACACTTGCAAGATTAGTAGAGGCTACTGTCCCCAATCAAAAACCTTGGTATACGCCAAAATTGGAGTCCATTTGTGTGGGTTTTAAATTTCTCGCGTGTTCCACTTGTTTTAGTGGCTTAGAGCATCTCCAACCAAGGGATAGTATGCCAAATAAGTAACTATCTTTTTTAAGTCAACAAAGTAGATAGCACAATCGTCCCCTTGAAAATTATGCACATGATTTGGTCTTGTGTGTCCCTAAACTTTTCTAATAAAAAAGTTTTGTATTATAATTTGCTTTTTATACTTCATAATTCGGAATAGTGTATATGCATGGGTAATAATCGAAGAAAATATTTCGCAAAATTACATGTATTCGAAGTTTACCTTAAGGCCTTGGAACGTGGTCATAAGAGTATTGCTCATTACCCAATTGAAACTTGATGAGGATTTTTTTTTTTTTTTTTCTCAAATGCTCCCAAATATTTAGATACTCGGAAAAGGGAAACTTTTAGCATGAGTGATCACATGCCTTCATTAAAAATTACGTGTTGAAAATATTTGCCCTACATATATGACTAGTCATCTAGATAAAGTGTTTTGATGCACATGTTGATTTTCCTAATGATGCCCATTACAAATGACTGTATAAATTACTTTGGGTTTGTAGCCTCATAAGCTCTTCAATGTACTTCAACTTTGTAGCAAATACCAAAGGCTTAATTTCTAAAGATTAGCTAAGAGGAATTACATGAAAGTATACATTTAGCAAGAAAAGTCAATTCTAAGAATCCTAACCTAACACCTTGAAAATTATATGCACATGATTTGGTCTTGTCGTATGTCCCTAAACTTTTCTAATCATAAGGTTAAATTTTCAGATTTCATAATTCAAAATAGTGTACATCCATATGAAGAAAACAAAATTGCATGTATTATATTCGAAGTTTATCTTAACTTAAGGCCTTGTATCTAATGAGGTCATGAGGGTGTTCCTTAACATGAATCATGACAAAAATTGCTTCGCTCAAATTTTTATTTACTTTTATAGACGTTTCGGCTTTTTTCCTCTTGCTGATACTTTGGACAAACTCCCAAAGGACAAAACATGCATTCTATTGCAAAACAAGCACAAATAATGTAACACCCCGACTCCAATTATTTCCTATTTTAATTTAATTAAGAGAAAATATTAATTTACTCTTGGGTTAAGGGTAATTTTGGCCAATTTCTTATCCGGGAAGATTTTGGGACCGTGAGTGGTGTGGTTGCGTAGGTGGTACTGAGATGAAACCGTAGACAGGCGGTAGGCTTGAATCGGAGATTTAACGAAGTTTTGGCGATCAAAACTTGTTCGGTGGCAGAACCGTAAATATTCCGAAGGTTTAGTAAAAATCAGATTTTTACTATTTTCACCTCACTTTCTCTCTCTCTCTCTCTCTCTCTCCCGCGTCTTCTTCTTCTCCTTCCTTGCGATTTTTCCTCATTCCCGTCACTGTTCACCGATCGGAAAAATTCCTCACAGCCACCACTTCCGACCACCCCGTCCGACCAGCCCCGCCCC